ATTGTCTGAGAATTTCTCTTTACCGTTTAAAAAAAACTATTGATTTAATCGAAGCTCAATATCACATTCGTGAGATAATCAAATTCGTCGCTTCGTCATTGAATGTAAGAGAATCTATCGCCATAAACAAGCCCGCGACATTTTACGGTTATTTCCTAAGATTTCAGGAATGCGATCCAATTTACGATAATGATCCGCAGCGTCAGATCCATGTTATATTTATTCCAAGCTTCGAAGAGTGAAGACAACTGCATGGATAAGTGCGCTCGCTTCTATGGATATCCTATCATGGATGCTGAGAGTAAGCCGATACTTATGGCTTTGAGGCACGAATCCGAGAATCAAGGCCGCTATTACATAAAAATCGGGTTATAGTTTATACAATAAGAAATTAATTGTAAAAATTAATTGCACAATTATTTAAAATGAATTTTTATAGCATACATGTTTTACGTAATGATAATATGCAGCTATTAATGCTAATTTTTTTGTATTAATTTCTTCAGCCCTAAAATATAAAATATATTAGTCGCAATCATTTAAAAATCTTTCTTTTTCTGTGAAAATACAAGACAAAAAATAAAAGATTTCAAAAATTTGTCTTAGAATATCGTTATTACTTATGTATATACATATTTATGTATATACATATTTTTTTAATACTTCAATTGCGATAAAAAAACTGAAGCGATACAAGAATGACTTTGTTACGCTCGCGTGATAAAGTCGCCATGGCGATGAGGAGGTCTTAATTAATTTTATTAAGCTATTTCCTTCGCACCTTTGAATTGGAAAACTGCGATCGCTAAATCGATATCCCAGTCGGGAATCCGATTCCTTCAACTTTGCCTCCTCTTCCTTCTCTTGAGTGCAACGGTGACATATGTAAATCTCTGTTGTCCACCTTCTTTTAGACTGCCGACTTTGACAAAACGCGCCGGATGTATTTGCATACCGCGTTATTATTTCAATTATATTCAAAAATTTTATTTTTTAGTAAAAAAAACTTTGAATATGAGTAGTTTTTGTATATCCATATATTCCATATTTTTTGAAATAATTTTGCAAGACGAAGAAACATATTGCCATACAATATGCTTTATCTAACACATGGTTAAATAAATAAAAACTTTGTACTTTGATAGAAACAATTGGCAATAATTCTATTGAAAAGTATTTTAAGACATTTCTGCTTCAAATAAAATTATTCCAAATAAGACAAACTATGCATAGATACTTATTTTGTCTTACTGCTTCTATAAATCCTTTGACAATCGAAAAGATTATTCATAAAAATTCTTTGTATAAAAATATGTACAAATATTGTACAAATATGTATAAAAGTGACTTATGATAATTTTACCCCAAGGTAAGTAGGTAACAAACAAAATTACGTTTTGCAACATATCATACAATAGTATAGAATCTTTCGCGTTAAGATAATCAATGTGTAATGCGATAATTTCGCCATAATTCATGCCGTCATTTCTTTCCGGAATCATTTCTTTCCTATCTACTTTAAATATTTTACAAAAAGAAAGTGCCAATCCAAATATATTGTCGTATGAGTGCACGATGATTTACATCATATCTTTGCCAAATTTAAGAAAACAAATTAATGCGCATTATATCAATTCTTACGCAGATGCAATCTAATCGATGAAATGCATAAACGATTGAATGTTTTTTACAACTTTTACTGACAAAAGTTCTTAATACAATCGAGTCTACATACAGAGTTGATCGCAACTATATTTTTTTCGCGATAGTAACGCGCAAAATGCAATATACCTAAGAGTGATATCTCGGATGATGACAACTACAGACAAATCGCATCAAAGAACGGAAACGATGTCGCAGGAAAAATAGCAAGATAAAAATACTTAATACAATAATCAACTGACAGCGGGGCTTTAATCGGTTTTTTTAAAGCGACCGCAATATATTATGTATTGTCGCTAATATCGCAATTTTCGTAACTCTCATCGAAGCGAAGATATAAAAAGGAAAATATAGCGTGCGATATAATTGATACCGATCGCTGCCCCAAAACGCGTCGCGAAAGACTAGAATGATTAAGAATAACGCGTCAGACGCGATTGGAAACATGGAATACATGTACCTAACGATAATTAATAGTGAGAATTATTGTTACAGTATTATGGGGCGGGTAATGCGATTCGGAGAATAGGGCATCTCTTTTTGATTTCCGGCGAATATATTTATCGTTATACTTATATATGTATTACATACACACAC